CGGACGCGTTGACGTATCGCAGCAACGGCTCAAAGCGGCCAATGAGGAGTCTAGGTATTTATTATGTCTATGAGTTCAACGGCCACCGCGCACAGCAGGACAGTGCGGCGCAACAACGTCACTTCCGCTTGTTTGGGAGGCTCGAGGAACGAGGACGCTTCCGTGCGTTTCAGCTGCTTGTTTACTTCGGATGGACCCGGTAAAGTAATAAAATAAACAATTTCGCGTACTTCAAAGTTTCGCACGAGGCATCGAGCCCTTCTGTGAGCGTAAACAGAGGTTTAACGACACTGTTTTTGAGGAAAAAGTGGAATGAATAAGTTGAGGTAAGCGCTTTTACTTGTTGTTATTGTGGGTCTCTAGCCATTAACCCATTGGTATGCAAGCAAGCAAGCTAACAAACACATTTTTATATTTAGCGATTGTTTTGAGAAAGTAAAAGTACGACAGGTTAAAGTAGTGTGAAACTAACTACCACGCTCCTCTAGTACGTCAAGGAAGAATATTGGCACACTAAGTTAAGTAACTTTTGTAATCGTCTATCAGTTAGTTTCCAATAACATACTTTATTTGTACGTGTTCATCTTCCAGGACTGTGGAGCATAAACCACAAGTGAAAACAAGCAGGACCATATGAAACTTCCGCCAGAAAATGGCTACGCCGGCAGTAGTTTCCACGGATGGATCGAGCTCCAGTAAGAGATCCTTTTATTTCCTCTTGGTGTTTATGACACGTTAGTATAAGGTAAATTAAGTTATTGTGCTCTGGCTTCAAAAAATGAATCTCATGCCAATCAGTCTTGTGTTTTACAGTAAGAAATGAATAGATAACTGCTTTTTTTGAGGCCATGTGGAAACAGTCACCACTGTATAATACACAGAGTAATTTATTTTATTGTTCACTTGGTGAAAATGTTGATGTTTACTGGCAGGACGTAATTCATTATACTCATATTTGTCTTTTTGTGCCCTTCAGTTTAGCACACGATGATTTTTGCAGATATTCAGTAGTTCCCAAAGCTTTTAGCGGCACAGATATAGTATAAATGTTTATTATAATGCTCAGACAAGTGATGCTTGCTTTCTAACAAAATAACATATGAAAGTGGACCATTAAAGGTTTTTACTTTAAGTATTTCATTAGTATGGGAGCCTGTTTCTGCCATGGGATATAAAAATGTAATTGTGACTTTACATTTTTTTTTTTCTTCTCACAATTCTGAGGAAAAAAACTCACCGAGACATAAGCTCAGAATTGCAAGATATAAACAGAAAAGTAATAATTGTGAAATATAAACTCTCAGTTGCAAGAAAAAAGTCAGAATTGTGAGAGTCACAATTACCTTTTTATATTTTAATTTCATGGCAAAAACTGGCTTTAGTGATAGTATAGTTAGTTTTCTTTTCTTTTTTTTAATCACGGTTGTCACTCTTCAGATGTCTTTATTTTGGAGGTTATTCCAGCAGAAAGGTATATGCATGTGTGTAAGCACATGTGTGCCTGTGTTTTCATATGATCTTGATTTGAATGTCAGTGTTGTAGACTGTCTGTAGTAGGCCTGTGACTGCCTGGGTTGTGCTCGCCTTTGTTATTTTGAGCGTAGTGCCACTACACACTTAGTTGGTGTGATTGGGTTACAGTGTTGTCTTGGAAGAACAAAGGAATTGATATCCAGGTGTCTGTGCATGCTGCAAGCTTACAATCATAGTCGGGGATTACCACACATCTCAACTCAGTGTGAACAGCTTTCTTTTGTGTTAGCATTTGCATTTATTTTGCATTTTATTTGTGGTATAGTTTTTTCATCCACAAGCAAGTTACACTCACTTCAATGTCAGGTTTTGTTTCAGTGTGCACTGGAAGGATACCAGTGCATAGGGAATATGTGAAAACAATAAAGGAATAGTTCACCCAAAAATGAAAAATTGCTGATAATTTACACACCCTTAAGCCATCAAAGATATAAATGAAATTTAGCATTACATAACTTGCTCACCAATGGATCCTCTCTAATGAATTTGTGCCATCAGAATTCAAACAGCTGGTAAAAACATCACAATAATCCACAACATGACTCCAGTCCATCAATTAATGTCTTGTGAAATTAAAAGCTGTGTGTTTGTAATAAACAAATCCATCAAGACATTTTTAACTTGGATTTTGATGTGAGAGGACAGGGGATGGACTTTTACACTGAAGGACGCATTATTATATTATACAAAGACATTAATTGATGGACTGGAGTCATGTGGATTACTTGTGGATTATTGTGGTGTTTTTAATCTTTTAGTTCATTTTAATAAATCTAGCTACAAACCATAAATAAATCACAGGGCACCATAAATCCTAATGGCTTTTTTCCACAGTTAATTTGCATGAATTTATAACATTTGGTTGAAACATTCATCTTTTTTTTTTGTACTCCTAGGTACTCCTGGAAATCGAAATATGGCTTCTTCAGAGGTTATTATTGTCTCTTTTGCTCTAATAATAGTTTTACATTCACTTTTTATCTCATCCACTTTTTGTGGTTATTATGAATTGGCCAATTTATTTATGACTCCATACTGGAACTTTTTTCTAAATTGTGCTAGCGGACGTCTCACTTTTGTCTATAATGTGAATGGGACTCTCTGCCTCATTCTTTTTCTGTTTATTTCTATTTATTTCTTGTGAATCGGCACAGCTCTTGTTGCGGCTCTTGATTTACATCCATTAATGCGTTTACTATATACCCTGCAAAACACCTGCACTAATTGTGTTACTGTGTTCTTGAGTTTTTTAGGTTTTTTTTGGAACTTGAATAAAATCACAATTATCAATACATTTTAAAAATATTAAGACTTCATGTCTCTCAGCATTGTACAGAAAAATCCCCTAGTGAAATCAGTGATGCTGAAATGTATTATTGCATCATTGTATAATTGATTCAAAATGATGTAAACATAATTAGCATTTGCTGGAAATGTTCCTTTGTCATAAATACATTATTAATGGCTTAAATATTCTGTCTTGCCTGATATGTTTACGGAGCAATCATATATCTTTCAGCTTCTTAGCATCTCTGGTTCATCCCAGACAAACAAAAAGACCATGGGCCACCGAGGGATTGACCCCACTGGGGAAACCACATATAAAAAGGTGCGAGCTGTGAATATCCAGATTTTATATCCTCATTTTGTGTACTGCTAACACTGTAAATATTTAAAAATAGAAATTTGTTAGAGATGGGACCAGATCAAACTTATCGGCAGTTCAACTTCAAACCTCTATTCACATTCCTGAATCTGCCGGATCTGCTTGCAACTCTTAGATTATTGTTGTGTTATCTGTTCTTTGTGTGGCACCATGAAGAAGATAAAGCCCAATAAATAGTATGGGCAGGTACATGCAGATAAGACTAGCAGGCCTTGAGTTATTGCTCCTCCCTTTCAGTTTTATTAAATCACACGTCTTTTGTAGGCCTTCAAACAAGATGCATGTATCAGTGTTATATTTAGTTACAGAAGAATTTTCTTGGTATTTTCTGAATTGCACATCAACATGTTCTTATTCTGCTCATCATGTGCCCTCCACTGGAACCCTTCTTCAGACAACATCATCTGCTCTGAAAGGTGCCATTCAGCTGGGCATCACACACAGTGTGGGAAGCTTGAGCCAAAAGCCAGAAAGAGATGTGCTCATGCAGGACTTTGAAGTGGTAGAAAGCATCTTCTTTCCCAGGTGCGTTTGTATGTGTGTCTGCATTAAAAGTAACCATGAAGAACCTTTTTCATAAGTGGTCACATTGTGTACTTAAAAGTGCTTGTTTTTTTTCTCCCTCTCAGTCAAGGCAGTTACTCAACTCCAGGTCATCACCATGGTGACTTCAAGTTTAAAACTTATGCTCCCATTGCATTCCGCTACTTCAGAGAGATGTTTGGGATCAGACCTGATGACTACCTGGTACTATCCTGTTTGTTCACTAAACAGCATTACCACAGTTTCCTGGAAATATCAGGGAACTTTATAATTGTTTGTAGGCCTGGAATAGTCATGGGAATTTTTTAGGGAAATCTTTGTGAATATTAATTTTTGTGACTGGTCTAAAATATTTAATCAACTAGAAATTGCTGTTGAATAGAGCTTGAGTAGAGTTAAACTTGCTTGTAAGCCATTGTGAGATGGTTCTTTTTCAATGAATTGGTCAAAGAGGTTCACAAAGGGGTCTGAATGATTCATTGTCACACAATTCTGAATCAAAGTAATAAATGGAAAAGCCATGAAAAAGTTATGGAAATTAATTGATCATGTTCATTCATATTACATCTCTCTTTTTGTTTTGTTCCGTCCAGATTCTTTTTTTTTATTTATGTATATATTTTTTATCTGTCTTCCTTTTATGACTTGAACGAAAGTGCTTCTAAGTGACATTGCATTTAGTTAAACGGACACCTGCAACACTCCAGTCCTATGTTAACTGCTGTGTATGTGTGTGTGTGTGTTTTCTGCAGTACTCTCTTTGCAATGAACCCCTTATCGAGTTGTCTAATCCTGGAGCGAGCGGGTCTCTCTTCTACGTTACTAGTGATGATGAGTTTATCATTAAGACGGTACAACACAAAGAGGCAGAATTCTTGCAAACACTCCTGCCAGGTTACTTCATGGTAAGTGTTTATGTGTCTGTATTATGTATTATCTCAACATATCTTGTTCATTTTATTATTATTTGATAATTATTTCATTATTATGTGATATATTATTTCCTCCTTATAATTCACCTTACATCTTCTAGAACCTGAACCAGAACATGCGTACGCTGCTTCCCAAGTTCTACGGCCTCTACTGTGTTCAGGCTGAGGGGAAGAACATCCGAATTGTAGTGATGAACAACCTGCTGCCACGCGCTGTCCCCATGCACCTTAAATTCGACCTGAAGGGCTCAACGCACAAGCGACGTGCTTCGCCGAAAGAGAGAGCCAAGAATTTGCCCACGTGCAAAGACCTAGATTTCATGCAGGACAATCCTGAAGGCATATTGCTGGAGAGTGACCACTACAGCGCCCTCTGCAAGACCATTCAGAGAGACTGTCGGGTGAGAGTGTGTGTGTTGTGTGTGTGTGTGTGTGTGTGTGTGTGTGTGTGTGTGTGTGTGTGTGTGTGTGTGTGTGTTGGAGACAGAAGTTGACATTGCAAGAGGAAAGAAACGTAAGGAAGAATGGTGCAACAAAATGGCTTAAAAATGTTTGATTGTCTAAGTCAGTGGTTCTCAATTCCAGTCCTGGGGTACCACTGCTCTGCAAATTTTGTATGTCTCTTTTATCTGACGCCCTCGGTTCTGAATCAGGTACGTTAAATAAGAGAGACATACAAAATGTTCAGAGCAGTGGTACCCCAGGACTGGAATTGAGAACCTCTGGTCTAAGTAGTACGACTTTAGGATACATCTTTGCCGTTCACATTGTTCAAGATCCAGCTATATTTTCTGCACTTGAGGTGCTTGGTTGTATATGCAATAAATGCATATTCATGGTAGCTTAATCCATTCTTTTAAAATAACTGTTTGATTGAATCACTCTGCAGTTTGCATCTGCTACATGTGTCTCTCTGTATTCCTGTATGTTTAGGTACTACAAAGCTTTAAAATCATGGACTACAGTCTGCTGGTGGGTATCCACAACTTGGACCAGGCCGGTGAAGAGGCGTCTGCTGCAGTGCCTGATACCCAGAAAAAGGCACCAGGCCAGAAGCCCCTATACTGTACAGCCATTGAGTCTATTCAAGGGGAATCCAAGGGCAAGACTTCACCACAGCCCTACGAAAGGTTAGAGATCCACCTTTGGCTGGCATCTTGAATCTACAAAACTCCCGGTGGGACACTCAAAAATAGCGTAAGACTGAATGTGTAAGGCTATAGAACCTTTTTAGAGTGAATTTTACAGTATTGTTCAAAAATTTGGAGTTGGTAAGCCTTTTTTTTTCATGTTTTTGAAGTCTCATGTTCAACAATACAGTTAAAAACAGTAATGTTGTGAAATGTTATTACAATTTTAAATACAATTTAATATATAACAATTTAATATCTATTCAAATGTAATTCCTATGATGGCAAAGCTGAGTTTTAGCAGCCGTTACTTCAATCTTCAATGTCACATGTTCTTACAGAAATCAATCACTAATAGGTTAATTGTATATTGGGTGACTAGCCAACCAATGTGACATACTTTATTCAGAGCTGCAATTTTTTTGTTAATATTATTACTGTGAAATTATTACTTGTGCCAACACAGTTGTTAATGTGCGATATTTGTTCTTTATTTGCAGCATGGGAGGAATTCCAGCATTTAATTCTAAAGGAGAAAGATTGCTGGTTTTCATCGGCATCATTGATATTCTTCAGTCTTATAGGTAAACTGTATTTCCATATTTTTGCATTTTCTCCATAACAAATTCCTATAATTTGTTAATAACTGTGTATGTTAGGCTTGTAAAGAAGTTGGAGCACTCGTGGAAAGCTTTCCTGCATGATGGGGTATGTCTCATACTTCGTCAAACATTGCATGAAGACTAACTTTACAAATGCATTTTGTGTATTTATTTTGTTTATTTGATGTTTTCCTCTGCAGGACACTGTATCTGTTCATCGGCCGAGTTTTTACGCAGATCGTTTTCAGAAATGTATGTGCAGTACAGTCTTCAAAAAACCTCCTTGTAAGTTTGATAGTCACATTGAAACATCTGCAATGGATGCATTTAAGGGCTAATGCATTAAAGTTTATTTCAATTCTTCTGTTAGTGAAAATGTCACCCTCAAAGAAAAGTCGAGGAGGAACTGTGTCTTGTGGGAAGAAGTCAAACATTGCAGTATCTGGACAATCACAACAATCCCTTCCTGTAGCAGCAGAACAAACACAGCCACAACAGACTACAGCGCAGCTGTCCAGCAGTGGAGCTGTGTCCCTGAGCCCAGACACTCAAGGAGACAGAGGTATGAGAAGACATTCAGAGATTGGGGGAAATGGGAAGGATAGACGGGCAAGAGAGCAGTAAAATGAGGCTTTAAATGCTTGTGGTTTCCAGTATCATTCTCTCGTGATAAGAATATCTTCTAAATGTCTTAAATGTAAATCATTAGCCATGTTGCTACACTGGTTGAGATTGCTCAAGGAAATCTTCTTTGTTGTGTTTCCTTGGCGGTTCAGTGTTGGGATGTAAATACTAAAATTCTATTCTGTTTTCTGAGTAGATTCAAAATAAAACATTAAAAACTCAAACACTGAAAACTGGATCATTTTAAATGATCCAAGTGAGTTTAGTTATCACAACATTAATGTACAAAATGTATGTATATATATATATATATATATATATATATTCATTTTGTAATTAATATATATGAGAGTTTTTAAACATAGATTTTTAAGCATGCAGAGTTAAATATTTAAAAATGGCGTGAAAATTCACATTGAACAATTCATCTATGCATATGTTTAGTATTTTTTGACTTTTTGACCTTATAATCTTTTATCAAAATATCATAAATAATATGCCACTGCAAGCTCACATTCATCTGCCTTCACTTTTGATGCAACGGTCACATCCCAAAATCCAGTCAACAACCTATGAATAGGACGAAGTCCTTACCCTATTTTTATTTATTTTATGTTACACTCAGATAAGTCCAAATATGGAATAAAAGGTCCTTTCCATTTCATTGCAAATTTTAATATCAACCGATACTGATATATTAGAAGAACATCTCCAATATTGGCCTAAATAATGTGACACTGATATATTGTACATCTGTAATTCTTTGTTATTTTGATAGATGTATAAACTCTGATCTGTTGTCATTTAGAATAGATTGTTTTAATGACCATTTCCTCTGTGCAAAGCTTAGGTTTTTGCATTCAAGCTACTTGAGGGTCTCAACTGTATGACTTGTCCTTGAGAGTATGGAATACATACATTGAGAGTATGCTTTGTTTGTTTTCAAGACTAACAGAGATTGTATGATAACTTTGTGTAGTTTAATAGTCAGATGCCCTTTTGTGCTAATAGCAGAGCAAATGAGAGCTGTAAATGTTTGCCCCCTACAGCACATGCATGGACAATGTCAGCATTGTTCTCATACTTCAGGAATCAATACAGCCTTCAGTTCTCTCTGAGGTTTATGCATTTGAATCATCTGACATTTTAGAGGCCTAGATTGAGTTATTGATAGTGAAAAGCAGTTTTGTAGTTCAATCTTTCCCTTTCCCCATCAACCCTACTAAATCATTATTGGCTTTTTTCTCTTTTTTTCTCTCCTCAGGTGTGCAGACTACTCGTCCTGACCTGCTCCCACAACAGCTTAATGAAGATGAGATCACAAGTAGCTCAGCTGATACGACCCTGTCAGCAACCTCGCCTGTAAGCTCTCGGCCCTCAAACACTCCAGCTCTGAGGTATGTGATTGATTTGGATGAATTTGACCGAAGATTAGTCAACTACTACTAATAATACTATTGGTTGATTCTATCACATGCTGATGCACTCTCACTCTTTTCACACGTAATAAATGTATACAGACATGTCTATTGACTCAAGTTCATTTCATTCCCAGTCACAGCAGTATAGCTGCCCAATCATTCGGAGAAAGCTTGGATGTGGAAGCCATTTCACTCAGTGAGATTGTTCCTCAGACAAGCACATCAGAAGTAAGAGACATTTTGTCCTGGGCTGCAATCGGTTTCAGTGTAGACTAAAAACAGACACACTTGATATTTTAGAAGTGTTTTGGATGTCCTGCAACAGTGGTTCTCAACTAGTGGGCTGCAATTGTGAACAGTTATTATGATCGACTTTTAACACTTGCAAAACAGTCTTGTTCAGCCTGCCATATTAATACATTTACATATTGTTCAGGATAGGCATGGTAATATGAATACATTTTAATATTTGATTTTAAGACATTTTTGTTAGCGTTTTGCTACCTTATTGGGTCACCACTTGATATCTAATATAAAAGCTGAAATAATTTGAGAAATACTGCTCTATCATGCCAGCAAATAAGATTGTGAAATGAAAGGTTCTCTTTATCCTCAGAGTGCATGCACATTTACAAATCATTGATTGCAATGTGATCTTTGCAATGTGAATGAGAGCTGCTTTTTACAAAGCAAGCATTGCTGGTTTACCCGTCTTAGTCATTCAACCCTGTTCTATAGCAGTGTAATTTATTCTTTCTCTTGCTGTTGCAGTGAAAGACTTTGGATGAACAGGACAAAGTAAAGCCTTCAAGGACAAAGATTTGTTCTCTTTTAAGGACATCAGAACAGGAAGAAAAAGAAAAACATTAAAGTAAGATGGTCTTGCTGTAAACACCTGGGAAACTGGAAACCAGAGAATCTGGATAACAAAAGAGAGAAGTGCACGTTCATAAAACAGTAAAGATAAAGATGTTCTTCCCCCTTTTTTATGTATTTTTTGGATGTCAACAGTATGGCATCCAATATTGCTGCTAAGAAATAGAACCAAAAGAAAGATGCCACTGTAGTACCTCAACAGTGTGATATCACTGTTCTCAAACAGTGCCATATTTACAAGAACTTTTTGAACCTGAGAATGTTCACAGCAGAAGTAAAGTGATGAGAACTTTGCATCTTGTGACCCGCTCTTAGGGAACAAACAGGTCTTTTGAGTACCTCGGTGAGAGTTTTCTAGTGGACTTCATTTGACCATGCATCTTTTTTTCTCTTAATTTGCCAAGGAGACCAATCTGCAGGGGTCATGTTATTTACTTTGCTAAGGGAAGAAAAGAAGTCTGGTTGATTTTGAGTTTTTATTGCCTATTTTAAAGACATTTTAGGGATATGGCATGATTATTAACAACAACAACGGAAAAAATTGTAGAATGAGTCGAGCCAGATCAGGTTGCCCGAACAATCACATAAGACACTTTTTCAAATCTGAATTTATAAAATCTGTACGACTTGGGTTTTATGAATCGATTTGATTGCAATACTGTGATATTGTATTGGATATTTAAATGTGCCTTAATCACAAGTTATTTTGCCTTGTCATAAACGGGAAGCCTTTTTCTGTGCATGATGCCTGTGAGTGGATTGTGCACAATTGCAAAAACAATATCAGTTGGTCATGTGTGATTGTTAAAATATAATGAATTAAAAATATATATTTGGAGCTTTCCAAGAAAATGCTTTCCCCAGTCTTGTTTGCTTTACATTGTTAGGAAAAAAGAGCGAGGAAAAAAAAACAAACAAACAAAAAAAACACAGGGTAAAAAGATCACTTTTGTAACAATGGAAGAAATATTATATACCATATATAAATTCAATATTTCGGTTTGCGGGACACATTTTTAAAATGGTTGTTTTTTTAGCGCACAATAATACTTCACATTTGGCAGACTAACTACTGTAAAATAATACATAGCATCTGTACTGTCTTCAGTATTTTTTTATGTTTACTTAAACTGGGTAGAATAGAAACTTCTCTTAAGGTCTCGGTTTTGTGAAGAGAATTGAAATCAAACTAAACTAAATCCTAAACCAAAACCTTTTTTTTTTTTTAAATATATATATATATGTTCATGCTAATCAGTCTGAATACAGAGACATTGGTAATGAAGATGCAAATGTTTTTAAATACAAATAAGTGGAGTAAGGGAAAGTTGCTGAATCTTTTTCTGTGACAATTTTTCTAAACAAAAGAAACATTCCTGTAAAAAGTCATATTTATTTGTATGTTTGCATGTAATTTATTTCTTTATCTCAACTTCCAAAGTGTCTGATACCTGGTGGCTGTGTAAATTTGTTTGGGAAGGTGATTTTTTTTTTTTTTACTGTACACTTACGATCGGGGATTCCTGTGCAATTGCTGTTTACTCTGAAAATGCTGCCTTCATTCTTGTTGTCTATCAAACTGAGAATGGTCTTATGTAGTAGCTTTATGAAAATATTCTTCACTCTTACAATGACATTCATGTATTTCTGCTCTCTTGCAGAGGATATTAAGACTTATGGAGTGGAAAATATTGCAACATTTCATGCTGTATGCAAATGAATGAAATAAACAACACTGAAAAGTAGAACTTCCTGTGTTATGCTTTACTATCTTAAAGCCTGTTGAAGGCACAGTGTTTCATGGTTTACATCTGCACTTAAAGTTATTCCAAACCTGTATGATGTTGTTTCTTCTGTGAAATACATAAAGAGATGTTAGTCAGAATGATTGTCTCAGAAAAATATTCATTCGTTATGTGTAAAAGTAACGATGAATGTGAATGGTGAGGTTGTTAGTCCCATACACTTTGCCTTTTCCCTAAAATATCCTGGAAAAGAATGTTTGCAACAACATTAGGGTGAGGAATTATGACGATTTTAATGTTTGGCGTGAACTATTCCTTAAATTTAACAACGTCCTCAGCAACGCGAACTCCCACCACATGTGGGCGCGACAAATACATTTCTGCACCGCTTCCTGTATCAGAAGCGTCACGGAACTGTCAGCCAATCAGCTTTGCTGTTACAAACTCGTCATTGTTCTACATCTGTAAGCCAATCAGCGACGCTCGGACTTTGGGAAACGGACTAGAGGATTTCCAAGATGGTGCTCGAAAGTACTATGGTCTGGTAAGAAATAAACAAACTCTTTGTTGTAGATATATTTGCTCTTATTGCATAGTTAATACTCATCAGACTTACTGTAAATACATAGTTTTTTCCTTCTGACACACTTCTGAGCCCTTAGTTAAGAACAAGTAAGAGAATTCAATAGTCGGTTTCTGTTTAGAATGACATTCTCGAGTCATTATTCAGCACGTAGCTCTGCAATAAAGAAACAGACCACTAACACAAAAACACATTTATGACCCATAAATTGTGATAATTTATTAGTGAACTCAGTCTGATAACGTCTTATTTAGTCTTCTATAATTGTCATAAAGCGATACTGGTTGTGTCTCAGACTGTCTAGTGTCTAGTGAGATGAATCGTTGGTATAAGGCTCTCAAAAGATGTCTAGATAGGCAGCTCACTTGGTTTTGATTCACAGACATTGTTCTAAAGCAGTTTTCCACTGCTGGGATCCAGTTTACTTACTTTGGCTGTTATGTAAATAAAACTAGGACCACCAAGTGCCAGTGTTTGATTTTTTTTTTTATCCCTTGCAAATGTCAGCACCCAGTTTATGCTCTTATACTTGTATAAGTTGGATGAAAACATGCTGATTGTCTTCACATGTTTTTACAGTGTAGACAACAGTGAATACATGAGGAATGGAGATTTCCTGCCCACTAGATTACAGGCACAGCAGGATGCCGTCAACATTGTCTGTCACTCAAAGACCTGTAGTAACCCAGAGAACAATGTGGGCCTAATCACAATGGCAGAGTAAGTATGTCAGTGTTGTATTTTATTTCATATATGATCTGTCAGTAGTGCTGTTTACATGTAATAGCACATCTTTTGGTTTGTTGCAGTAATTGTGAGGTCCTAACCACCTTAACACCAGACCCTGGCCGCATTCTTTCAAAGCTCCATGCGGTTCAGCCACTTGGAAAAATCTCATTCTGCACCAGCATACAAGTGGCACACGTATGTACATTCATAGATGCTTATAGGGATAGTTCTCTCTCAGAAATTAAATAGGTTTTGGGGAATTTCCTTTTTAAAAAAGTGAAAGTAGTATTTTAATCTGTGTATGTCTGCATCTAGTTGGCACTAAAGCATAGACAAGGCAAGAACCACAAGATGAGGATTTTGTTGTTGTTGTTGTTTATTAATGAATGACAAATGCTTTTCATCTTTCATTGTTGGTCAAACTGAATATTTTATGTAATACAAGTTATAAACATTATTTTTTCCACTAAATCCTTTTAAGATGGTGAAGTTGGCAAAGCGGTTGAAAAAAGAAAAGGTCAATGTTGATGTGATAAATTTTGGAGAAGAGGTAACTGGCACCTTTCTTTTGTTCACTTTAAAATCTTTCCGATTTTCTTGCTTTGATTTTTCACTTTCTCTCTTTTAATCAATCTGTTCAGGAGATGAACACAGAGAAACTAACTGCATTTGTGAACACTCTGAATGGAAAGGAGGGCACAGGTTCTCATCTGGTCACGGTGCCCCCTGGGCCCAGCCTGGCTGATGCCCTGCTGTCTTCTCCCATCCTGGTTGGTGAGGGTGGTACCATGATGGGCCTGGGTGCAAGTGACTTTGAGTTTGGAGTGGACCCCAGTGCGGACCCAGAACTGGCCCTGGTAAGATACAAATTCATCTCTTGTATAACTGCACTGAAGAATGAATCCATAGCATTACAGGTGAAATGTGTCTGTTATTTAAAGGTGAAACTTCTTATACATATGTTTATTATGCAGAAACACCTATGAGTAAAACATTTATAGGTTGATTCCCTCAAAGTGTGTGAACACTGAAGCTCTGTGATGCTTTAACTTTGTTTACCAGCAACTTTATTAAGTCAGCAACATTTTTTTGTATTTTTAGTTCAGTCTCACTTGATCAATTCTAATGACATTGAAAGGGAAGATATTTATTCAAGTTGCTCTTGATCCACAGGCTCTGCGTGTATCTATGGAGGAACAAAGGCAGAGGCAGGAAGAGGAGGCTCGTAGGGCGACTGTCCAATCAGCAGCTGAGGCTGGCATTCCCACCTCAACCGCTGACGGTAAGGATGTGCTTGAATGTTTAAAATAGTGAGGCATGGTGGGCATAGTGGCTCTGGACTAGTACTGGATAGAATGCAGGTTTCAAAATGTACCAAAATGTTAAGGATTGCATTAGCCCCTGCTGGTAGATGCTGGTACTACACCATTAGGCAGCATCAAGCATCTTTCACCTTTATAGCCTTTCATGGTGACTTCAAGATGGTCCTAATTCTGAATAACATTTTCAGTTATTGATTCATTTTGTGCAGCCTGTTCATTTTCAAGTAGTAAAATTGCACTGATGTTTGCTTTTTAATTTTCAAATAGATTGTCAAGTCTTCATCTCCATACATTTGATTCTTAACCTTTTAGTTGATTCCCATTGCAAGACAGAGTCCTGATTTTCTGTGCCACTTTTGTTCTCCCCTTCAGAATCAGAGGAAGCTCTTCTGAAGATGTCTGCCTCTCAGCCTGAGACTGGTGTGGCAGCACTGCCGGACTTCAGCAGCATGACAGAGGAGGAGCAGATAGCCTATGCCATGCAGATGTCCCTGGCAGGTGGAGGTTTGTGCCGCCCTCACGTACCTTCTTAGTCTTAGAATATCCTCTGTACTTGACACAGAATGCGATATTGACCATTATCCCTCTTATGTCAGAATTTGGAGAATCAGTGGATACGGGAGCTGCAATGGACACTGCGGAATCCAAGGTAATTCAAAATATTGTCTGTTGGGCTCATCACAGTCTCAGGATACTGAGAAATCAAACTTCAAATTTGTTTGTATTTTGTAAGTTTCAAATTGCTGAGCAGGAATCTACTGAAAAAAAAATTCCTTTTTTTGGTCATTATATCAAGCGTAAGCGTTAGTTCTGGCAGGTCACATTAGTCAAGCTTGCATCAGCTGACTCTCAGCTGATCCCCATCTACCTATGGGAATACGATACCTATCTAATGGCGCTTTTCCACTGCGTGGTACGACTCGGCTCGGCACG